CTTGATGCCTGAGGCTTTGGATATCCCCTGAGTGACCGCTGCCTTAGAGGCTGCTCCACGGTCACCCTGTAGACTTCGAGGCAACCCAAATCGTGGGATTATTTCCTGTGATAATGCCTCGACACCTCTCCTGCCCGTTCAGTTCGGGAGGGGTAGCTTCAGTGCACCCAGTAGAAGTCTCCATCACAACCAGTAGGTACTGGCATCCATTGCTCTGGGGCATGTGGGGAGAACCAAGTCGCCAGAGCTCCCCAGGGAACTGTCCCATCCTGCGTGATCCTGGGGGCTTTGGGCAGAATTCAGTGGATTATTTCTTTGGCATGTGCCACAGGCTTCGACTGTTTGGTGGATAGTCTTTGAAAGACCCTTTCCTCACATCTCTCTCGGGTTAATCTGAGAGCATTTTCTTCTCCTGGGTGGAGAGATTGATGTAAGGTATGGGAATCTTCCACTGGGAATTAGCAGGTGAATGAAGTTCGTCACTGTCCATTTGAATCCGCCCAGAGGTAGAAGAAGACCTCCTTTAGCTCGCGCCTTGTGTGTTTCCTCCTGGGTGTCTTATCTCTGGGGGAGGGTCTGTTCATACAAAGGGGCTAAGGTCGCCATCTGTGAATCCCCTTATCAGCTCCTGGGCTTGTTGGTCTGCTGGTCTGTTCCCCTCTGCTCTCACTATCCCTTTCTGAAGTCCTCGACAATGAATCACTGCCACCTCTTTGGGTAAATGGACAGCCTCTTGTGGTCTTAAGATTTGCTCATAGTTCTTTATGGACGGAAGTTCCCCCAGTCGTTTGAGACCCTCTTTCCTTCCAGATCGCTGCGTGTGCATGCAGGATCAGGTGGGCGCATTTGGAGTCGGTGTAAATATCGATTCTCTGTTGTCTCCCTATTTCTAATGCTCTTGTTAGGGCCATCAACTCAGCCAGTTGTGAGCTTGTGCTGGGGGAAAAGGTTGTGCCCCTACGGTGTCATGTAAGGTCAGCATATCCAGCTTTGCCTTCTCCTCGTTCCAAAAGGAACTCCCATCTGTGAACATGGTGTGCTCTGGGTTGGGCAGGAGAAGGTTCTGAAGGTCTTTCGGGCTGAGTGATTTATAGCTAGGACTTGTTGGCAGTCATGTTCAGGATTTCCCTCTCATTCTTCTGGGAGGAAGGTAGCTGGGTTTAAATTAGAACAAGTCCTTATTTGAGTTACAGGTCCTTCTAAAAGTAGGGTTTGATATTTTAGAAGGCGATTGTCTGAGAGCCACAGTTCACCTTTTGTATTTAAAATTCCTGAGAGATCATGGGAGGTGTAGACAATAAGGTCTCTTCCCAGGATGATTTTAATTGCCTCAGGGACTAGCAAGGCCACCGCTGCTCCTGCCCTCAAACAATGAGGCCATCCTGGAGATCCCTAAAATGGGCGTGTTACATGGGCTGTTGCAGGGCACTAGAAGTTTCTGTCTTTTGAGGTTCTGAATGATCTCTAATAATAATAATCTTTCTTGCCTCTATGCGTAGGGGACATGGTCTCTGATGTAGAAAGACAGAAGGGCCCTTTAAGACTATTTTGATTGGAACTGCACTTTCTGCCCGTCCACTTTTGCCTCCAGTAGCCCACACTTCAGGGATTATATCACATTCTAATAAAGGCAACACAATGGCCCTCTCGGTCCTAGATTCATTGTCATGGACATCTGAAGTTTTGAAACTAAGTCCCTTCCCAATAAAGGGCTAGGACACTCTGGGACTCTCAGAAATGCATGAGAAAACATCACCCTGTCCCACCCTCAATTCGTGGGGGAGTAAACCTTCTGGTGGTCTTGTGCGGTCACAGCATTAGAGGACAGAGGGCCGGGGTAGGAGGTGAGCACAGAATAGCTGGCGCCAGTATCTAAGAGGAGGGTGGCCTCTCGGCTCCCTGCGGAGAAGCGTACCCGGGGCTCGCTGTGGTGACAGGAGTCACGGGGCCAGAGCTGAGCCCCGCCCCGTCAGGCCTGTGTGGAGGAGTCTGGCTTCAAGGACCCACGCCCCTGAGGACAGTCCCTCCTCCAGTGACTGCCTTGACATTTAGGGCAGGGCTGTGGAGTTGGTCACTTGGCTGTGGGCAATCCCGTCTGTGACGTCCTTCTTCTCCGCATGGAAACAAGTCCCGTCTGTGGATTGAGGACCACCTCGTCTTCCTCCTGCACCCCGGGAACCTACTGCGCCCTTTCTCCCTCTTTCCCTCTAGATCCCCATTATAGAAAACCCAAGTAGCAAGTCGGAGATGTCATCTAAAGATCCATCAGGGCCACGTGCCTGTTTTTGTGACTTCCTCCGGATGTCTGGGGCTGACTGAGTGACAGATTTGTCCTTTACAAGTGGGTGGCCCCCTGTGGACTCGGGATCCACGTGGTGTGTTTTCTCATGGCCTCTCTGAGTTCCTCCATGAAAGCAGCAGGGCTTTCCGGGGGCGCTGAGTGATTTCTGCGACCTTAGCGTCGTCGACGGGCTTTTGCTGGATTCTGCTGAGGGCCTCGAGGGCCAACACTCGGAAACGGCTGATTTTCCAAGCGTCTTGCTGGTCATTTGGGTCCCATCGGGACCATCTCTGGGAACTGCCTGTGCTCCAGATGGGTGATTGGGTTTGCTCCTGATCTGTGCTGCTGGGGAAGGAGCCAGGTGTAGGTCATCCCCGATTCCTCGGCTGCTCTTAGGGCGGCTCCCTTCTCATTGGAGGTCAAGGTCGGGTTGAGTCATGGCATAATATCTCTCCAGGTGAGGTCAAACACCTGGCATATGTTTTGAAATACCCCAATATATTTATGTGGGTCCTCCAAAAATCTCCCCAAGTCTGTTTTATCTGCCTTAGGTCTTGAAGGGAGAAGGGGATAAGTACTTTGATTGGTACAAATTCTCCTCCTGGCATCTCCTGGACAGGTGACATATTTGGTCTGTCTATTGGGGCAGACGCAGAGGGGCCAGGGTATGGGGACAGGAGGGCCACTGTTGCACACCAACAGCAGATGGAGATTTTGTGGGTCCTCCTGGTTCTTTCTCCTCAGTAGGTGAGTCCTGAAGATTTTCTCTCTTCATGGCAGACATCATGGCTGAGTCTACACTGTTGGCATAATTGGGGGTTTTCCCTTAGGGCAAAGAAAACCCGGGCATACGGCACCTCACACCATCTCCCTTCCTTTTGCAAAGTGTATCAAGCTGTAAAATCGTATTAAAATTGGTACTTCCCGCTGGTGGCCAGGTTTCTGCGTCAGGGAGTTTGTATTGAGGCCAGGCCTGGCGGCAGAAGAAAATGAGGCGCTTGTTCTTGAGCGTCTGAGGGTCAAATCTATCCCAATTTTTCAATACGCAGGCTAGTGGCGCACCTGGCGTATTGGAGAGAGAGAAGCTCCCATCTGAGTGAGAAGAAAACAGGACTCGGGCGCCCGCACCACGCTGGAGAAAACTGTTCTCCTTAGGGACGTCTCCCTAAGCTTGAGCTTCCTAAACGGTCCAGAAAACCCGTCTCTCACCTGGCTTTGCCAAGGGGTTTCTGGTCCCCTTTAGCAAAGTGCTAGGGCCTCAGTTTGCCCTGTGCCACAGACCCTGGGAGGATTCAGACTTCAGGGCCTTACTGCTTATCCTCCCCGCCACTAAAAACCCACTGCAAAAGAGAATCGCGTGCTCTTCTTGTCACCTGTGCTTTGTAGACTAAGGGAACCACCTAAGGGTGAGGGATATCTACTGGTTGTAGGGTAGCGCTTTCTATCAGAGAGATTACCGGAGGAATGGATTCTAAAAATGCCTCCCTCTAGCAGCCTAAAGAGAACACAGCACATTCTAAACATTGGGCGGTAAAACAGACTAGTGAAAGTCACCTATGCACCTTAGGGAACCTGGGCAGATCTTACTAATTATCCCATGCCTTTCTCAGTCCTGCAACCTGAATTGCTAACATTTCTGACCTGCGAAGGAAGGGGAGCATCCAGGAGGAATGGATGCAGGGTTGGGAGTGTTGCGTAGCCCACACGGAGGCAAATGTGATTGGGGCTTTCCCTCAGTGCCATTCATCTACCGATCACCCTAGATACCCCTGAGGGCTGTCGGGAGGGGGCTCAAGAGAAAGGAACCTTAGGAATACGTCTGAGAGTAGCCCAGAGCGGAATTCCGCAGTTGTTCCAAACTCCTTCCTCCACCTCCACGCATCCGAGGCAGATCCGGATTCGGGACACTGTATACTCACGCCAATTGCTCTCCGGGCCCAGACAGAAAAGTGGGAAGTGGCTTTGGCAGAACCCAACAAGCCTGCTCTGTACCGAACGGGTGATTGAGAGCTGCCTAGGCCAGGAAACCTCTCACCTGAGTCTTAAAGAGTGGCGGCTGCACTAATTGCATTTAAGTAGCCGTCGGGTGCCCACTTCACCCTCTAGAAAGAAAGAGAGAGAAAGATGCACCTCAGACAGACGTGGGGTGCATGGAGAGGTGCTTACCTTAGTGTAGATCTCAGTGGGACCTCCAATCTGTTACCGCTGTTGACCGGTGACGAGTCCTTGCTTCCCCAATGCTGAAGTATGACCCCAGAGAAGCACACCGAGGCAAGGTCAGAGTGGACAGTAGAGGCTTTATTAAAGGACAGCGGAAAAGACCTCTCCCACCCAAGAGGTGGACTCCGTGGAAGGGCGCTGTCTCCCCTTCTTACAGCTAAGGTCTTCATCCAGCGCCCCCATTCCTGCCTCTGTTCTGTTACCTTTCAGTGATGGATGTGGGTGGAAGGCCCTCAGGGGGGGCACGGGGGGCCAAAGGAGTAATCTGGGCAGGAAGGACTTTGGGGTTGGCATCTCCATCTTTGCTGGGAGCTGTTTCGTTAACACTTCTTGGGGATGGGCTCTGGGCCTTGGGGACATCAACGTTCACGGGTTGTCCTGCTTTGCTTTCCCGGACCCCATCCTCATCACGGCTTCCCTTTGGATCGTACTGGACATTGGACCTGATTTACCTAACCACACTGACTCCCTGTCTGAATCTGGCTTCATCTTTGCACAGACCTGCGGCCCCTGGATGTCCTGGCGGAGGCGGTCCCTTCGGATGGCGCCGCGGGCGGAGTCAGGACGGTGCAGGTCCTCGGTGCCCGGGGCCTCCAGCTCTCGGCCGCCCCGCCCCGCGCCTGGAGCTTCCCTGCATCGAGGATTTTCTTCAGATGTGACCTCTTCCCCGAGGAATTTTCCATCGTCGTGACCTTGAAGGCCCCCCGCCTTCCTCCCAAGGTCAGTGCGATTTGGTCTTGGCTTCAGGAAAAGCAGAGCTTCCCTCCTCTTCCATGCTCTCGGTGCCAGCGCAGGCCCGGCCCCTCTAGCGGGCGAAGCAGGCTGCTCAGGCCTCCGGGGGCATCTTGGGATCGAGTGGCCTGTCCTGCTGGGGAGTGAGGCCCCCCACGGCAGCTGCGGCAGGGTCGGCCTGCCCCTGGCTGGGGGAGGGCTGGCGACACCCGAGGCCGTGCGTGGGTCTTATCCTGACGTCCTTTGGCACCTCGAAGGGTGCAGCTTGTGGCGGGCTCTCCTGTGGCGCATGGTGCCATTGTCCCGGGTCTCGCATGGCCCCTTCCCACCACCCCGGCCTGGAGGGGGGGAGGCCAGGGGTGCCCCTCGCCACCGTCCCCACTCAGACACACACTGACTCGGACACCCGGGTTCTGGGTGATGCACAGCGGACAAAGGTGGGTTTCCCTTTGCACTTCCAAATCGCCAGCCGAGGAGCAGAGCCCGGCAGCCCAGCTCTGGGTCGTCGGCAGAGTGGGACGCTGGTGTGGCCCCCAGGGACTCCCAGGCTCCCCTCCCCTCCTGTCCTGTGCTCCGTCTCGCCTCTGGACGGCCCCTGCGTGTCGGCGTGCGGGGTCGCCCGGTCCTTCCACTCGCTCCCCCTCTTCCCACGTGAGTCCCCCATCGCGGGTTATGTTCTGCACCCTGCCTGTGACCTTCCCGGACGTGGCCATGTCGTGGACGCCCGGGTCTTCTGCTCCTCAGCTGGGAACCTCGGGTTTTCCCGCCTCCCAGCTGTTAAGGGGACGCTGCTGAGTGGTCACAGCCCTGCGAAGGGGACACTGCTGAGTGGTCACGGCCCTGCGAAGGGGACACTGCTGAGTGGTCACGGCCCTGCGTGGCGGGCATGGTCTCTTTCCCCCGGGGACAGGCTGAAGTGGGAGCCTTGGGTCCGGGCCATTCCAGGGGTGACTTCTGAGAGCCAGCGGTGGCCAGGGAGGGTCGGGAAGGCTGTCCCTCTGGTTTCCACAAGGGCCCGCAGAGCCGCGGTGGGTGTTGGTCCCTGCTGTGGTCCTGGGACCTGTGCACAGTCTCTGCCCGGCTCAGTGTGGCTCAGTGTGGCTCAGTGTGGCTCAGTGTGGCTCAGTGTGGCTCACTGTGGCTCACTGTGGCTCAGTGTGGCTCAGTGTGTCTCAGTGTGGCTCACTGTGGCTCAGTGTGGCTCAGTGTGGCTCAGTGTGGCTCA